GGAAGTATCCCTCAGACTTGAGAAGGCAGAGTACAAAACATTTAGAAAATAATATATGGTCATTTCTTCATATTACAAGACACTGAAATGGAGGGTGATGTGGGAAGGTGGGAAAGCTCTTACAAATGCATTTCTGAATGGGCCATCTCCAATGATCCTGATGAGCAAGAGGTGGGGAATGGCTGCCAAGATCCCAGTGACGGCTGAACAAGCTTTCTAAAGAGACCGAAATGCCACATTTTTAGCAGCCACATATGAGCACCCTTTTCCTCACAGCAACAGGTAATACAGCTCTTCTTTAATTTTTATTCCCCACTTTGTGATTTGGAGCATATTTTTAAATGTTTCTTATGTTGAGCCCTTTGGTTTGGCTCTTCCATAAATTACCTATTCCTATCCTTTACCCATTTATCTATTGGGTTCTCTTGTCAATTCATAAGAGCTCTGTATATAACAGGACCTTTGTCCTCTGCATTACAAATATTTTTTCACTAAAACTATCATTGGTCTATTGTAGATTTCTTTTCTATAGGCAAAGTTTATTTTTTTAGTGTGAAAATGTTTTTATAACGTTAGATATTTTCTTTTATGGCTTCTGGATTTCTGATTTTAGCTGAAAAGCCCCTAGACTATACATGAATGGTGTAGATTTTCTTGCAAGAGTTTGTTAAGTTTTACGTCTAAATCCTTAATCCATCTGGAATTTATTTTTATGAATAATGTAAATTGGAAGTCAACTTTTATTTTTCTCTAGTTGGAAAGCCAGTTGTGCTTATATCATATATTAAGTGATTCATCCTTTTTCAACAGAATGAAACTACTCATTACATTTATCATATAGTATTAAATTCTTATATATACCAAGATCTATTTCTAGATTATTTATTCTGTTCCACTGATCTATTTGACTCTTTCTATACCTGTGCCACACTGATGAGAACAAAGTGACTCAGTGAATCTTGATATCTAGTAATACAGATAACCCTCATTATCCTTTTAAATACTTTTCTTGCTATTTTGGGAGCATTTATTCTTTTCTATAACTTGAATATTTATTTAAACAATTAAAAAAACCCTGTGAGGATTTTTATTGGAATTGTGTTGTTATACAGTATATATAAAATTTGGGAGCACTGGCATTTTGTGATTAGATCTTTCCATTAAAAAATGTGATCTTTTCATTTTTTCAGATCTTGTTTCATGGGTTTTAATAATATTTCATAATTTTATTGTAGATCATACACCTTTCTCATAAAATTTATCCCTGAATATTTTTTTTTCCTATTTCCATTACTAGGTGCTTATCACTAGATAGGAGGAGTTCTACTTATTTTTGTATATTTAGCTTGTATCTAGCCACATTACCAAAGTTTTGCATCAATTTCAGCAGTAAGTTTTATGGTTTTTTGTGTGTTTTTTTCTACTGGAGTGTCTTGAAATTTCTAGAAATAAAATCATATCTCGGTTTTTTCCTCCCAATGTTATGTGATTTATTTTACTATCTTATTGCTTTCTTGAGAACCTCTAAGACAATATTAACTATTAATAGTGATAGCAGCATCTCTACAAGTTCCTTATTTTAATTGCAATAGGTTTTGTTTCACCATTTAGGATAAGTGTCATTGGGTTTGGTAAATAGTCTTTATTATGTTATATGTAATTGCTTTCTGTTTCAACTTTCCATGGTTTCATTAGGAGTAGCTGCTGTATTTTCAAATACTTTGTGAGCACCTACTATTACGATCATATGGTTTTGTTCTTCTTTAGTTTGCTAATATAACAGATCATGTTGATAGATTTCCTGATATTGAAATATCTGGAATTTTTGGAATAAATCTTGGTCATACTATACTATACTCTTAATACATTGCTGGATTCTTTTCGCTAAAATTGTATTCAGAATTTTTGCATCTGAGCCCATAAGTCATATAGATGTATTTTTTGTCTTTTTCTGTATTAGGTTTTGACATCAAAGCTATATTAATTTTATAAAACAGATAGAGTTCTCCATATTTTTCTATCATCTGGAATAGTTTAAATAGCATTGGAATTATCAATTAGATAAAACTCATTTGTAAACCCATTTGTACCCAATTTTTCAATATTAGACCTTTAATAACCCTTTCAATATCTTTTGTGGTAATAAGCTTACTCTGGTTTTCCATTTCTTACCAGTTTTGGTAATTTATATTTGCTAGGAAATTATTCTGATTCTTCTAAATTTTTAGATTTGTTGCCATTGAGTATTAATTCTTTTCTCTCTGTTATCTGTGGTTATGTCTTCTTTTTTGTTTCTTATATGGTATATTTCTGCTCTTTTCCTCCTTATTCAGGGTGATTTGCCTATTTTATTAGTCTTTACAAAAATCCAGCTTTTGGATTTATATTTATCCCTTCTATGACTTTATTGTTTTCTAATTTATTGCTTTCAGCTTCTATCAATTTCTCCTTTGTAGTTTTTTAGGTGCTGTTTGCTACCTTAAGATGACAAGCTCCTTCACTGAAAAATATATATTTTTTCCAATGAACGCACTTAAAGCTATGCATTTTCCTCTGAGTACAGGTTTTGCTGTATGTTACAGGTTTTGAGTATAACGTGTGCTTTTTGTTCCTTTCTAGATAGCTTGCATTTTCTTTGACTTTCCTCTTTGATCCAAAGACGTATAGAATTGTATTTCTTAATTCCTGTGCAGTTATAATGGTTATAGCCACGTTCTAATTGCTTCTGATTTTATTGGATTATATGAAGTGTGGATCACAAAATCGCTACTTGTTTAAATTAATTAATATTAATACTAATAATACTCATTAATAATTAAATAATTAATATTTAAGTAATAAATAATATTATTTCTGCCAAGTATTAGATTGATTTTTGTATATGTTCCATGGATAAACAGTAAAAAAATGTACATTCTCTATTTAAAGATTCTATATGTAGTCTGATGATCATTTACTAATTGCATTATTCAAATCCTCTATGTCATTATTTTCGTCCATTAAACATGTCTAGTTCTGAGAGAGCGGTATTAAAGTCTCTATAATTGTACTTTAATTTTTATCAAGTTCTCTTTGCAATTCTAATAGTTTCTGATTAAAGTATTTAGTCCTTCTGGTAAGTGAGGCATAAAGTTTATCACCTCTATTGATCTGTATCACAATAGATTGTCTTTTGTCATTACAGAATATCCTACTGAGAGCTTTTAATGTTAAATCCCACCCTGTCTGATACTGACATTTCAATTCCTGCCCTTTTTTGTTTGCGTTTGCCTGTTTCTCTTTGCCGCCCCTTTATTTTCATCCTTCTTTATCATTTAAGTGTGTCTCTATAACAACACACAACTGGGTTTTGCTGTTTTCTAAACACATCTGTTTTGTAATGGTAGAAAATTCAATCCATTCCTAGCTAGATAATGATGGGGTCCCCTGATAGCATTTCATCCATCCTGCTTTGTCTATTACACTTATGTTTATCTTAACATTGTTTCTTCTTTTCCTTTTCCCAGTTTTTGATTTTTTTTTTTTAGTGTTTCTCTCTGAAAGTTAGGTTTCCCTTGATAACACTTTTCTGCCTCTTTTTGGGAACATTTTGTTGCTCAGCTGGACACTTAGATTAGAGTCCTTCCCCTCAACCAGGCATACTCAACAGTGATGCTGACATTTGTAACTGGGCTTGAACCCAAGGACAGGATGTCCTGGAGATGAGATCTCAATTCTGCCATTCAGCAGTTGTATGACCATAGGCAAATTATCTATCCTCCTTGAATGTTAAAATGTAGAGTCACATGGCACATCTAGGACTAACAGACCGTGTGTGTGACTCATCTAGCATCTAGCCCTCCTGTTCCCACTCGCTCCTTAGGCTTCTGGGATGGATTTGGGTTTCGCCTTCCTCGGAGCTGAGCAATCAGGATGAGGAGGATGGAGAAATGACCTGTGTCACGTCTGTGGCCTACTCCTCTCAGAATTCCTGGAAGGAATTTCTCACCTTGGCTCTAATTGGTCTTTCACTTCACGGGCCAGCCAGGATTACACTTCCTTGTCCTCAAACAACACAACAAGACAGTGCAGAGCACGGATGCTTCACCTGTGGACACACACGAGGTGGGCCTGGAACCCACTTCTCCTGTCCCCAGGCTCAGATAAAGAGGGGCATCTTCCACCTTCTCCTCTTGGCCTTTCGTGTAGCAGAAATACCCGTAAGATCAAGCTGGAATAAGCAGGAGACAGGAAATTGGAGGAGGGACCCAAGAAGGCCATGCCCTGGGGACGGGGGCTTTACCTGAGGCCTGGAGGCAGAAGGTACAGGACACTCTCTGGCCCAGCTTCAGCCCTGACCAACCTCTCAGCCTGGCTCTTCATCTCCAGGGCTTAAAAGCTTAGGAATCCTTCTGGTTCACATCCTGCCTTGCCTGCTACCACCAGGACTCGGGACTCACCCTCAATGAACTCTGTCTCAGTTCTTTTCTTTTCTCTCAATTACCTGATCAACAGAAAGTGGAAGTATCATAGATGATCTACTTCTACACCTTTAATTTTGTGATTCTATAAAATTCTTCCCATTAGGCAAAACTTTAAACTCCTTGAGGGCCAAGGCCGGGCTTCCTCCTACTCAAGGGTCATGGAAGTCAGTTCCATGCCTTCTTCTGCAGGCTGCTCCTAACTAGCTGAGCCACTTAGCTCCTCCGGCACATTTCTACTGTCTGGGTCCTACGATCTCACGGGACCTTTGGGGTTTGTTCCCTGCCCACCCATGGGCTCTGAGGCTGCTCTTCAGCCTGCTCTTCCAACACGATACTCTCTTGTGACTTCATAAGAATAGTTCCACAAGCTCCCTGGGGACAGGGAAAGGGCCTCTTCTCTGCTGGAGGTCCTGTGACCTGCTGAGGTCACGCTGAGGGGTGAGGGGAGGCAGGTGTGACTGGTGATACCCCCCCCCAAAACCAAACAGCCCTTCCCCACGCCAGCCCTCCTCTGCGGGGGAAAGAACACCAAACAACTCTGTTCAAAACAGTTTATTTTATTTTATTTTTTTTTTGTCAGACAAACACATTGATTTCTGGACCACAGTAGAGGATGGAAACCTTTCACAAACTTATTTATCTGAAAATACAAATATAAAATTATACTTTCCACATCTGTGATGTGAGAGACTGCCATCCACATAGTAATTTTTTACAACAGGGCTTTAAGAAAGCCACACACAAAGACCTGAAAGATGCTTGAGATATATATATATATAGATACATATATATGTATATATATAAAAAAAATACTCACTACCAAAGTTGTCATCAGTTTCATACTAAAGTATAAAAGTAAGGGTGAGGTCAGCCACAGTGCTAGGGAAAGTTTCATTTAGATACATTTATGTCCACGTGAAACGTTTAGACTTGCATCCTATTACATATGGAATTCCGAGTTTACAAGACACCATGAACGGCAGATTGGCTAGCCCACGCTACTCAAGGACACTCACAGATTCCACACAGGATGGTACAGTATGTACAGAATACAGTAGCAGAGAGCCTTCTGGGGGCTCTGCGACTTCTTCCTCTCAGTCCCCATCCCCCTCTGGACGCCCCTGCCTCCCGGAAATGAAATCCTGTCCGAGACAATACATTCTGATTATTTGATAGCCAAGTATTTGGATTAAGTTTGCTTCCCCAGAGGGGTGGGTTTCAGTTCTATTTTTTTTGTGTTTTAGTTTATTTATTTTTTTGGTAAAAAAAAAAAGAGAAAGAAAAAGAAAACAAACACATTACATTATTAAAGTATTGCTTAACGTATAGCGTCTCCTTGTGTAGTGTCTGTGCCCAAGACTGGGCTGAGCTCACTTCTGCTTCTTTTTCGCTGAGGGTGAAGGCGGGGGAGCCCACCAGTGTCTCTCTTCAAGGTGCTCGCTTGCACCTGTCCCTCTGCTCCCCCCGCGGCCCCCTCTTGCTTATGCCTTCCTTGGAAGATAGCCTGGCTTGTGAAGCACATTCAAGAAAAAAAAAATTCTCCCCTCCCCCACCCACCCCCAGTCTCCCTCTGTCCCTGCGTGCCACTCCCAACCGATAAAGAGAAGTATGAGTTAGTGTTTCTTTTGTAAACAATTTCATATGCAATATAATACAGAAAGCATGGCTGACCTTCAATAAAAAATGTAGTAAACTATATTGCTTTATTCTTGATTATGCTGCAGTGAGTGAATGGCAGAATGAAGCAGTGTTGTGGTGGTGGCTAAGTCCCTAGCCCTCGTTTGCACTAAAGATCAAAATAAGTTTTGTTTTTCTATTTGAAATCAAAATCATTTTTTTTTTTCCAAAATCCCCAAATGAAAAAGAACCAAAAAAAAAAAAAAAAAAAAGAAAACCCCAAAAAAACCAAAACAAAAACTGAACACCTTTCAGGTCATTAGAACCAACAATTACCCAATGATTTTTATACTAGTCTAGCAAGATGTGTGTAACATTCACTGGCTGTGAATTGCTGTGCAGTGAAACATTAAATTGACAGCAATAGAGCCATGCTACCTTAAAGTCCAAGCTACGAGTTCAAATTAAGATGAAGGTGATGAAGGATAGAAACGCAAAGGCCTGTTGGGGCTTTGTTGGCATCAAGCCCGTGAGCGACTGGGATGGAACACGAGGCTGTTTGCTTTTCCCAGTGGGTGTAAGGAAGGCCACAAAGTAGGTCTGAAAGCTCCTGGAGAGGAGGGACCAAAAGCCTGGTCGTCCCCATCAGCGCCACGTCCGGGAAGAACCAGGGAGGGGGCCAGGAGCTAATGCCACTCTCTCTCCTCTGCTGGGGAGGAGAGGAGTTTGGGGGTCCCAGGCAGATGGATCTGGAAACCAGAAAGTCACCCGGTGGCTATTTTATGATTCCGGGAAAAGCCATCAGCCAAGAGGGTTTCTCCCCCAGGGAAGGCGGAAGGTGGTTCCCAAATTCGCCACTGAGCTTAACCGAAACAAAGACAAGGCTGAACATCAGTGCTAAAATAATTTACAAAAATCTTTCAAAATGGACTTCTAGATGAGTGGGGGGACTAACGTGAACCTTAACCTAGGTAGCCACATTAAAACATATCAGATTTCCACGAGATTTGTGCTATGGGCTACTGGGTCTCTTCAAAAGGTATTATAAACATCTAAAACATATTCACACAGATTATCAATTTCTTCTGAGCATTCTTAAAAAAATATTTTTTTTCTCTTAGTAAAATCATTTTAATATACCATGCCTCCCTCTTTTAAAAAATAAATTAAAAAAATCCAGTTTTGCATATCTAGCATTAGCATTTAAGGTAGTATGGCACACCCCTTCACAGTTGGGGGGGGGTGGGAATCTACAAAACGCCGTAGAGTCTGCCGGCATTTGAACATCGTGAGACCTTGGGTTAGTTGAAACCACATCAGATCAGCAAAAGTAAAATGAAAACTTGAAATTGGAAAAAAAAAAAATTGAAAGGAAAAAACTGCCCCAAAATTATTAACATTTTTTTTCATAAATAAGAGAAAGTTCTATCCTTACTGGTCCTAAATCTGAATAACTATGTCTAGTTTTTTTAAACCTTAATTACGTTATACCTATCAATATGTACTAGAAGAAAGAGGAGAAAAAAAGTCACTACACTAGTACCAGGACAGCACGCTTACAAGATAGCCATTTTATACATTATTAACAGACAGTGATCAATAAGGAGTCAATGAGGTGATGGGGGATGCAGAGAAAGGAAGGGTCGTACAGTACATCACCAACATGGACAAAATAGTAATTAAATTCCCTAGGCTAGACACTGAATTTCTGGGAATTTATTGTCTCTTTTTTTTTCTTTGTTTTTTTTTTTAAATAAAACTTCTATTTTGTTATTTTATTTACTTGAACAAGTTTTGATACTTTAAAAGCGCCCAGCATTTTACTTTTAACCTGGTTGTTTGGAAATTAAAAGAGAAAGAAAGAAAAACCAAAAAAACCCTCACCAAACAACCTAACATTTTATTGGAAAAACAAAGAACATGATTTTTTTTTTTTTAATGTGTTGCTGTTTAATTAGAATTGAAAAAGGCTTTTTTTCTTTCTTTCTGAGTTAGCATTTTGGAGCCTTTTGATTGAACATATTTTTGCCCTACCATGTCTGTGAATGTCTACATTAGTCTACTTTGTTAGTAAAATTTATAAAAATAGGAGTGCAGCAGCTCTTTATAATAAATGTCGCATTCAGTGTCTCATACTGGCTGTGCCTTAAGTACCAAATTTATAAACGTAACAATTTAAAAAATATTAATAAAACGTCAATATCACATTTTAAAAAAGAAAAAATATATCTCCACACTACAATATGTTTTAATGCCATCTATTGAGCTGTATTTCTATAATCGCTGTTGCCGACCTATTACCAATATTAAAAAAAAGTTAAATTAAAAAATATCCTTCATCATAAGTATCTTTCCCCAACCGAGGACCATATATTATAACAGCCAAATGTTAAACATGTGCAAAGAGGAAACTGTCAGTTTTTCCCACCAGTCACAGTGCAGCGATGTTTATACTTTTTATTTTTAAAATTCTGTTTACATCTATAATAAATTAAAAAAAAAATTCTTCCATAGCCTCTCTGGTGATACTTGCAGCACTGAGGTATTAAAAAAAAATATATAACCCAAAAGGTTGCTTTCCTAATTTGGAAATAGAAAGTGAATGGAGAAAAAGTTTCATGAATGCAGGCTTTTCCACTCCTGGCCCGTGGGCCCCCCGAGCTGGGGGTGGATGGGGGACAGGGCGAGAAGAGAGGCAAAGTGTCCTAGGGACCTTTGGAGGTGCTGAAATGATTGGACGATAGAAAATGATCATATATTTAAAAATTAAGACTGAAAAAGTATGTCCCCCACCCCTCCCCACCCAAGCCAAACAGGTGTGCTTTGAAACTTTAAATATGTTAAATATTAAAATTGTAGCTTTGTTTTTAAAAAACGTCTTGGGAAAAGCAGTTTTTCATATTTTAAATAAAAATCTAACTAGACGGTAACATTTGAAGCTGTGCACAAACGAGAGGTTAATATGCTGGTATGACACGAATACAGTTCTTAGGTCTATCACACAGACAAAAGGAGCTGAACAGTGTTCGAACTTTTCCCGGGGTCGTCCCGGCAGCTGGGTGCTCTTCCGTCTCAGTAACTGACTTGGTTTATTGTTCCTTTCCCTCCTTCCACAGAGCATCAAACTGCCTGGGACCGACTCCCTCACAAAAATATTTTTGATTCTCTCTTTCTTAATAGTTTCTATGTAGTTAATGGAATTGTATTTACAACATTTCTTTTTTAGAATTCACAATTTCAAAAAACCTTATAATATCACCTCTTTCAACAGAAAAAAAGCACTTATAGAAAAGGAGGACACTGAAAACATTGTCGTCCTTACCTTATTGCCGAAAATAGATATACTTAGGTTAACAAAGAGACGTCACAAAAAGAACTGCTATCAAGTCTGTTAATTAGCCTACTACATCTCACTTGGTATACAACGCAAAGTAGAAAGTTTACGCCCACCTCCTGCTCCACACTCACAACGTCCCTTCTGTGTGTGCTCAAGCTCCACCTGAAATTTCATACAGTCTCAGAATCGGTACCAAAATATTGAGAGTAATATTACCATCTCAGCATCCTTTCAAAGTGAGAACAGAATCAAAACAAGCAAAAAAAAATTTTTTTACGAAAAAAATAATACCTTAATATAACAATTATACTATGGTTAGCTTTTAACTAGATATTAAAGCTATATGACTACTGGACTAAGTCAAAATCACTACCAAATGTGATTCAAAGAGATTTAAAAGGAGGAGGGAGAAGAGAGGAGGTGGAAGGGAAACCATCAAGAAAAACAAAACAAAACAAAACCAAAACCATGGGTTATATACACATTTAAAAGCTGTTGTCTTATATTACAGCAGATTTGTGAGATGATGAGATGTAGTCAACCCTCTGTCCGAAGTGAGCCATCTCTGGTTGGGATGGGGAGTGAGGCTGGTGGGGGGTCCAGGTCTGATGACATCACCTGAACAAGGGGCCACTCAGAAACTTCGCCCAGTCTTGCCTGGACATCCAGGTATGCTCTGCAGCGTCCAGAAGGTCAAAGATGCCCGGAAAAGAACACAAAGTCGGGGTGGGAGGAGAAAGAAGAAGTGTCAGGCAAGTATAGGATTTATTCCAACTTTTTAACTACTGCTTTCAAAGGATGGCTACTGAGTATGTTTGAAAGCGCCCTGGCTAGCAGCTCGCTGGATCACAGCTTGGGAAGTCTGACCACGCTAGATGCTGGGGAGAGGGCGGCTCTACACCTCATTTTGCTGGTTTGCTATTTTGCTGATCTGACACAGTTCTGTAGAATTCTTGAGGTGAGGGCAGGAAATGTGGTCACGCTGGGTTTTCAGCTAGCCTGGTGAATTGCGCATTGACCAGCAACTCTTTCTCTGGTTAAACTTCTGTTTTCAAAGCTAAATGTTTCAAAAACTTCTGCCTTTTTTAGATACCCATCAATGACAGTCAATAACTGAAAGTGCAAATTTCTAACTAAAAAAAATCATATTACATATCAGAGACTCAAGCTCAGGACATTTATAAAAATACACAGAAACAACCAGCTTTGGTTAAGGACATAAAGACAGGCCCAGGATTCACAGACTTGCTAACTGAGGCTCCCTGAGTTGACTAGGAGTCTGGGCCCCTCCTTTGTGCATGGCACTAAATGTCTGAGGGTCACCTCTGCTGGGGACAAAGTGTGTTTTGGTGCAGCCATGTGACTCAGTTGGCTCCCTTAATCCATTTTGGAGAGGGGTGGGTTGTTACCTCTACTCTCTTGGTTATTTCATCCTTCTCTGGAAATTGAGTCCCAGAGTTGGATGGGGGAGGATGGGCTGGGAGCAGAAGCCCTAGACTACCCTCATTTTCCAGGGAAGGGAGGGAGGAAACACTGGCAGTCCCAGTGTCTGGCCCTCCAGGGACCTGCCGTCCTGGTAGTTGATTAATGCCCTCATCAAGGGACTCCACATAGGGCCGGAGTCACCTTCCACCCCCGAAGTTCTTGGATGTACCAACCCGCCTTGCTCTCAGAGGAACCTTCCTTCCCCCGGGCCCCCAAACCCAGCTTCATTAGTAGTGAGTAGCTCTCCTTCAAACTGTTAGTGGCCTCTGGCTCTGGCCAGCGATGGCTGGGTCAGTGCTCAAGGAGTAGTGGAGGCGAGGGGTGGGGAGAATTCACACACGGGGTTTATTTGGTTAAGAGAGGCAATTGCGTTAGTTCATGTGATTCCTTAGCAGCAACATTAGAGAAATCCAAAAGAGATTGATGGAGCTCAACTCAACCTGGTCTCCCAGCTGGGCCCACCCTACAGAGTCCTGGCTGGCTCGGGGGCCTGGAGCAACTCCCTCTCCAAGAGAGGCATCCTACTGACTACGACCCAACGAGGCAAATCCACCCCCAGCCTTGCTTCTTCTATGTGCCAGCTCCCAGAGTGAAAGGCGCTCATGCCCCAGCTGGGATTTTCCGAGGGGGTCTCATTCTCAGGCCTGAGCTGTCACTCTCCCTCTTCCAAAGAGACAGACCCATGTTTCAACCTCCCCCCCCCCCCAAACTAATGGACGCATTCAGCTTCACAAGAGAACTCCTCTCCCTTCTTGGTGTTCCTCCCCAGAATGAAAGATACTCATCTTCAAACAAGAATGTGGCAAGAGGTTCCCTCACCAACTGCCCCAACCTCCCCTCTCCTCCACCCCTTCCATATCCCCATCAAGAGTGATTTTAAAAATGTTTAATTAACTTGAGCTCAGTTTAAAAGGTTAGGAAACTGGCAGGGATCCAAATCCCACGGTACGCAGGTGATGTCATTAATTTAATTTGCTTTTCGTGCGGTAATCTGGATAATTACTCAGTAGTTACTGGCAAAAATGTTTTCTTTTCACTAAAAGATGGAGTCTGGCTGTTTGAGTGCACGAAGCCCATTGCCTGAGCCCAGCGAGCTCTGGGAGCTGAACGGGCTCAGCAACCTACAAGGCCAGCTTGCAGGACCCAGGGGCTGTGCTGGCCCCCGCCCCCGGGGCCTGGCAGAAGCCCAGTGATTTCCTGCCTCCATCCCCCTGGGACGGGCACAGCATCAGATCTCCTTCCAGTTTCCCACACTCTTGATTGTATTTCAAGACAGAGAAAGATGAAGGGTGGGGAATATAAAGAAAAGGAGTCAAAAGAACCAAATCAGGGGGAAAAAAAAAGAAGTGGGGGTCATGATTAAAGCTGGAGAAAGTGATGAGAGATTAAAAGACTGGATTCTTTTCGCCCCCACCCTCCGAAAAGGGGTCCAGAAAAGAGGAGAGAGAGATGTGGACGCGATGAGCCCAGGGCCCGTGCGTACTTGCATGCCCAGTGCACATACATGTACGGACACGCCCGGCAGGGCGGAGACACGTGGCAGAGAAGGTAATACCTCAGAGTGAGATGGCAACGAAAGCACCTGCTCAATGGTATCCATTTGTAAAGGCCGTTGCAATCAAAGGTCCCTAAAATTGCACAATTGTTAAGGTCATCAGCACGCTATACATGGGAACAGATTGTCATATTCTAGGAAAGGAAGTTATCTCTAGGACTAGACTGTGGTTGCCAGCATGAATATGTAACTCTGAGACACTGTGCCGTGAGGGGCCAGGATGACTTCCCCCAGTCCTCCAGCCCCCACTCCCCACCCCATGCCTGTCAGCTTACCCAGGGGAAAATCGAGAGCCAGATTCACGGGGTGGGAGGTGATGGGAAAGGAGGTTCACACCCAAAATGATGGGCGCCGTTGTCCTGAATGCTGGAGGGCAAAGAGACCAGTGTCTCTGTCCACAGTCCCAACAGCTCCAGCTGGGGAGAAAGCCAGCCCCGTGCAGATGAAACGTGACGCCATGTGGTTATTTCAGAAAACCACGGCGGCACACAGGTCAAAAGACCCAGGTTTTCAAGAACAAATAAGGTCTGTGTTTCTGGGTGCTGAAAATGGAAATAAGTGGTGTTCTACGTGGTCAGATGGTCTCCCAAAGTGATGCAGCTCTAAGCTGAATAATGATACTCTGAACTTGGTACTACAGCTGATCCGAGGGGAGTTGACTCGGCAAACTAGTGACTTAAGTGATATTGGCTTGGGAGTGAAACTAAACAAGGACCTCGACTGCAGAGGCCAGGGCTGGCACAAGTGTGTGTGTGTGTGTGAGAATGTGCCTGTGTGAGAAAGTATGTGTTCGTGTGTGTCAGAGAGAGACTGTGTGTGTGAATGTGTAAGAGAGTATGCCTGTGTGAGAAAGTGTGCATTTGTGTGTGTCAGAGAGAAAGTGTGGGTGAACGTGTGAATGTGTGTGCATGCCTGTGAGAGAAAGTGTGTGTAAATGTGTAAGAATGTGCCTGTGTAAGAAAGTGCACATTGGTGTGTTAGAGAAAGTGTGTGTAAATGTGTGTGTGCACATGTGTAAATGCTTAAGAGAGTGCGAAAATGCCTAAGAATGTGTGAGAAAGTGTGCATTCGTGTTTGTGTCAGAGAGAAAGCGTGTGTGTGAATGTGTGAGCATGTGCATGCATTTGTGTATGAGAAAATGTGTGTGTGAATGTGTGAGAGACTATGCCTGTCTGAGAAAGTGTGCATGCTTGTGTGTGTGTGTGTGTTCCAACTCCACAGGCAGGGCTCAGGCTGCCCTGGTACCCTGGACTGCACTTGCTTTGTTCTCCCCAGGGCAGCCCCTGAGGCAGGGCTCTCTTGACAGGGACGTGACCTGGGACAGCAGACACTGCCATCTTAGCTCAAAACCAAACTGTCTTCGAAATGCTGAGGTTGGCTAGGGCAGAGGGTGGCCAATTTTCTGTTTCCAAATGGAAGGGACAGCGAGCAAGTGGGCTCAGGCACATTCATGCTCACACACACTGGGAGGGGAAGAACGATACGATCTGAAAACAGCATGCAAATCTGTGAAGCAAATTTCCATTGCCTGGATTAGTCAGATTATAGAACCACAGAGCATTACAAATACCAAATGCATCTGGCCTTCGGGGAGGGGGCGCAGCTAAAGAATGCAATTGGGAACTTACTGGGAACCTGGAAACTAAGAAACATTAGCATAGGAAACCTCCTGGGAGGGGACACCCCACACTACGTCCCAGGTACCAGCACCACCACTGGACCTTAGCCTGGGAGACTACTGACTACAGGCTGCTACCCTGAGGTGGGAGAGCTGCAGCTCTGAGGTCCCAGCCCATATGACAGTCTCCAGAGGGCAGGGATCAAGGATCAAGGGTCTGATACTGAGGACCTACGATGTGCCAGCAGGTGACATATCCTACTAATTTTCAGACAATCTTTTGAGGGAGGCATACTTATTTTCATTTTGCAGCCAGGGAAGCAATGGGTCATATATGTGGTTGCATGGACTGAAAGTGATGGAGTGGTGATCTGATCTGCCCTGCCCATGCTCCTTCCACTATCACACGGCCGCACACTGTGCCTGGCCTGTGGGGGCTCAGGAAACGCCTAAACGGAGGAGCTTCAGCCCTAGGTGGCTGACATGATGTGGATGGGGACCCTCTCCTCGCCTCCCAACTCTGAGCTCCCTGGTACACCCGCCCCATGGGCCACAGGAGATGGGCAGGAAGGAGGAGACAGTGGGAGGCAGGTACTTACAGCTATGCCGTGGCCGAAGCCGGAGCCCGGCTGTGGGCTGGCCGCACTTATGTAATTCCCCACTCCGGAGTCCTGGCTGGCAGGGCCGTAGAGATCGGCGACAGGTCCTGGGCTGTTGGCCCCCGGGAAGCCTCCGGGCCGCGCCGGGTTGGAGCCTGCCGGGGAAGCGGGCGCGCCAAAATTCGGTTGAGCACTGTAGCTATTCAGGACTGGTGTGCAGAGAATAGAGCTGGGTATGAGGCCAGAAGCCAGGCATGCACCGGTCATCACAAGCCAAACACTCGAGAGAAACAGCTGAGGCCCAACTTCTAACACTCAACCAAGGCCATGCGAAAACATCAGCAGGGACTCAAGATACTCAGCCCAGGCTACTACCAAGAAGCTTGGAGCTCCAAAATATAGAGAATAAAAAAACAATCATTCAACACACTACGGCAACCAACCGGAGGTGCTTCACTGCCGACCAAATTATCACAATAGAAATAGAGATATATATGGAAGAGAGAGAAAGAGAGAGAGATTTTTTTTCACATCTGAATTGATGCTCATGCAGTCTTGTCTAGATCTGGGCACGTCGAGACAGCATTCACATCCCATGCAAACTACAAAGGAACTAGTTTTAGACTACACATTGTGTTAATATTGATATTAAAACGTGACAGGAAACAAAGCAATTTGTGTCCAGGAAAAATAAAAAATCTTTGGGGAGGGGATTTTTGATTTTTTGTTTGTTTCACTTTTTCTTTTTTTTGTTTTTGGATCCATTCAATGACAAACTTGTTTTTGAAAAAAAAAAAGAAAGACAAAAAATATCTCCCTTCTCCAGCCCCACCCCTCAAGCCACTTACCCCCTCCCCACTGGCTACGCCCTCCCCCCCCAACCCTCCCATTCATATCCCTGCATGAAAGTCGTCAATACTGAACGTGGTCGGAGGATGGGATATGTCATGGAAAATCTGGGCATCTTAACAGAACCGTAATGATGGTGGCAGAGGTTCCCCTTTGGGGTGGAGCGCAGGGGATGGAGGGCGGGGATGGGGTGGGGGGATGGCGAATCTGGAAGCTGGGGCCGAAGCTGGTGAATGCCAATGATTCTACAGGACACCCACACACTCACCTCCTGCAGTAGAAGGAAAGGGGGAATTTAAACTTTTTTTTCCTTTCGTTTTAAAAAAAAAAGACAAAGAAGTATGAATGCAGAGCATACGGACTGAACCAACTTACAGCTAAAGCATATCTGATGGAAATGCCTTCTTTCTGTTAGTCATCCTCGGATATAAACTCCAGACTGAGAAAAAGAGCTAGGAACGCACCTTTGCTACAGGGATGAGACTTCACACCCACAGGTCCCGAGACTGGTGGGGGGAGGGGGCAGTGGGAGGAGACACGGCCTCGGGCTCCCTCCCTTAGCCTCCCCCAAATGCCATTATTCTCTCCCCAGTGACGCCACAGCCTGTCAACCAGGTTAATTTTGTTTCATTTCCATTTCCCCTCAGTCGATTAAACTTTTTGTTTTCCAAAACGGAAAAAAATTTTTTTTAATTGCAAAAGTAACTTCTCATTGATTTTGAAAGCTCAAGGTGAGTCTGGGGCCAGCCGCTTCTGGGCTGCAGCTAACCCACGTCAAAGAACCAGACAGTCTGGGCTCCACACGTTTCCATGACTTAGGCTCCAAGGGGCTGCTCCTCAGAACAATCTCTCTGCTTCCTTTGGCGTTTCCCTCTCTGCTCGGTGACCAGCTGCCTTCAATGGCAGAAGGAAAGAAAATCTACAACTCCACTCTTGGCCACGGCCTTGCCCTGGGGGCCTATGGCTGGAGCCCCCCACTTATGGTGGGGCTTGAAGAACCAGATAGAGATTGATTTTTACCCGCCTGTCACAGGGATGGGAAGAGAATGATGACGCACCCAAGCCAGGCTGACAGGAGAATGAGATGAGGACAGGAAGATGCCAAGGAGACCAGTCCAAGCTGGGCCTGGCTCCTGACTCAGCAGTGAAGAGGGAAACCCCTCCCTGAGGATGCCCTTCAGGGCAGGAGGCCCTAAGGTGAGACCCCTCGGAAGCTGTACCTGAGAAATGAATAAACCAGCCAATGGAAAGAATAGGCTAAAGAGAAAAAAACCAGAGGCTCAGAGGAAGTGAGCGGCTGATTGGGGAATGCACTGGCAGACAAAGGGGATGGGATTTGAAAACAGAAGATTAAACCTGCAGATAACATTTGGCCCTGTTCACTCATGGAGCCAAATATCAAGCTGAGATATTCAGAAGGCAGCACTATCTTGGTCGAACACACTCTTTTCCTCTGGAGTAGGGAAAAGGGAGAGCGCTCAGACAGGAGCCTCCTGGTTTACCCAGGCAGCTGACCCCTCCCATGCAAAGCAACTAACAAGTAACTAGCCTGTTCTGTCGGAGGGTAAAGAGTAGGGGTGGTAGTGGGGGCGCTGCAGGGAAAGATAGAAATCTTTTTTGGCTTCTTTCTCCTCTGGTCAGACAAAGATCCAGGAAGACGGTAGGCAGGCCCACCTATTTAGGGGCTGGGGAGAAGGGAAGTTTTGGTCTTGGCTCCTTCCAGCACGGAGAGCCACCCAGAGACTAATCCAGCCAGCAGCAGCAGCTTTGGAGACAGGATGTAGCAGGCCCATGGAAGGATGCTGTCCAGAAACAACCCCCTCCATAGGCTCAGAAGACAAGAGGGCTGGTGGTATCCTGCCCATCCCTGGTTGCCTCTCCCAGTCTTGTGTCCAAAAAACCTGTAGCTTAGGAGTTGGCCTGAAGGGAGTTTCACAATAAGCAGCTCTTCTTAGGCCTATATCGCCCCTCCTGGCTCAGTCATCTTCCATCAAGATGGCACCCTATTAGAACGCAGCTCTATGGGGCTGGCCCGGTGGCACAGTGGTTAAGTGTGAACATTCTGCTTCGGTGGACCTGACTTTGCCGGTTCGGATCCTGGGTGCGGACACGACACTGCTTGGCAAGCCACGCTGTGCTAGGTGTCCCACATATAAGTAGAGGAAGATGGGCATGGATGTTAGCTCAGGGCCAGTCTTCCTCAGCAAAAAGAGGAGGATTGGCAGCAGATGTTAGCTCAGGGCTAATCTTCCCCCTGCTCCCTCTGCACCCCCAAAAAAGACTGCAGCTCTAAAACCCGAAGCCCCGTACTATTATACACTTGCCCTCACAATGCGTGCGCCCAACACAAAGTCGCCTTGCAGCTATTCCCCCAGGAAGGGGCAAAAGAGAGGGCTGGGAGTCCCTGCCAGGGGGCAGTCGGCAGGCAATGAGCACCCAGCTCTGGGCTGGTCCCCTTTCTCTAGGCTTCTGGGCAGTAAAACCTGCACCCTCAAGGGCTAGGAGCATGCAGGAGACGGCCTCCGTACTCCACAGTCAACCATTGCCTCTTTGTCTTTCTGTAGGCAGAGGACCGAGGCTCTAGAACGTATGTTAAAGTCCCCGAGCAAACCTCATGCAAAACCAGCATCTTTGGGAAGGCTCATAACACAGGGTGCTGGCTGCTTGGGAAAGAGTGGGGAATGCCTCTCTGCACGTGCACCCTTGTCGGTAGCTGTTCCTGCGGACTGGCGCTGGGAGGCCACTATGAACAAAGTAACTTTCATCTTTTGGGAAGTTCATACTGAATACTGGCTGGCTACAGGTAAACCAAGTCATCTGAGGACCCCCGCACCCTCCACGCTGTGACATCGAGAGGAGAGGCCGGGGGAGAAAGTGTGACACCACCTTCCTGACCTGAGGGTGCCTTCTGTGCAAGTCACCCTCCAGTCAGTTCCCCATGATCTGTCTTGAGGGAGGTCACCTTTCCCCAGGCTCTAAGGCTCATTTTGAGGGGACTGAAATGGTCCTACGTGCCAGCATCAGGTCAGGAAGAGGAGATGGGACACCACTCTTAATGGACATGGGTACCCCCATCTACTGCTCAGCCAGAGGAGGGGTGTGTGTGTGTGTGTGTGTGTGTGTGTGTGTGTAGGGAGGGATCTGCTGAGATGATTTATAAATTGAACATTAGGATTCCTGTCCCAGAAGAGGACAATGTCCTGCAAACACTTGGCATTTTTGCAGCAGAAGCTGTGAGCGTTAAGTGGCCTGGGAGCTCATTGCGGGGAGCACGGCCACTTTTCCATCAGCTGCTCTGGGCAGCGTCCACAGCAACGGGTTAATCCTGGGCAGTTCCCCCAGCATCCTCTAGGCTTTCTGGGTCCAGGCAGTGGGGATGTTCAGGGAGGCAGCTATGGTGCAGAGAAAGGGAGCACTGGACTTGGAGTCAGAAGACCTGAGTGTGACCCCAGCCCTGACCTCAGCTGTGTGCCTCAGCCCTCAGCCCCTCAGCCGCCGGAGTCCTCATCTGTGACATGTGAGTGCTGTCTGCTTTAGTCTGACTTTCCGTGGGCTGCGGCAAGAATGAAAAAGAGAAAGCGCTCTGTCACTTGTCAAGTTTCAAACAAATACACCGATTTTTGAAATAGCTGTGTATGCAGAGCCCAACAAGGCAGGTAGCATATGCAGACTTAGGAAAATCTGATAGAGGGAAATACTATTCACTTGCCGTACAAATCAGGAGGTGATTTACAAAAGGATCCAATTCATCCACCTAGTGCCTTTAATCATCAGGGACCTGAAGAAAGGACTGTGGGAATGAAGGGGAGGAAAGCCTGGATGTTCTACCTCACTGAGGCCAGCAAGAGGAAACACACTTGAACTAAAGTTGGAGGCATTCTGCACTGGATAAAAGGAAGAATTCCTGCCCATCAAGGGAATAAAACACCTCGATGGCTGACCCAGCAAAGCCAGGGAATGGAGACCTTAACAGAGTTCTGTCCGGCAGGCTTAGACCCTCACCTGGGGAAGCTGGACCAGACGCTTTGTGGGCACCTTTGTCCTTGGGGTCCTAAAGCCAGCCTAGGGGGATGACTGCCTTCCGGCTGGCACACTGTCCACCTGTGGCTCTGCCCAGCTGTGGTCAGAAGAGGGTGGGCTGAGAGTGGAATCAGAACTGGAGGTACGGAAGTGGTGGGAGAGGACAGTGAGAACCAGAACAGCCTCACTGGAGGGCTAGGAAAGGTATGGAAGTCCAGATATTTCTCAATGATCCCTACGTGATGCTACTGGACCTGAGGCAAAATGCTAGAGCCCAGGACTGGGAGGGGGACCCCCTTGGAGGGCACTGCTGGCTCTAAGGCATGAAAATCAGATTATA